CTTTGCACTATGGAATTAAAGGTAAGTTACTTTTAATGAGTTGCATGGAATTCGGGCTTGACTTTTTCTTCTTATTTTTTTTTTGGGACTGGCAATAGGCTCGAATCCATTTGTGTAGCGAACAATGAAGTGCTTAGGAAAACGCACAATGGGAAAATGTTAACTAATTTTCGACTGTGCTGCGTTGACGTGTAAAGCGGGACGGATAGAGCTGGCCACCTAGCAGCAACCCCCACTAGCGACAAACAAGCCCCATTGCTATCACCTGCTAGTTAGTCGTGGCCTGTGCGTGAGTTGGACTTATTTAAAGCACTGTCAGTCGTCCGTCGTCCGTCGTCAGTCGTCAGTCAAGTAGCCGGCCAGGGGTGCCCTTCCACCATCAGCTATGCATGACATTTTTCCAACGGCCGATATGCAAAATCATTTGAACCGCGCTTGGTCGCTTGCTGGCTTGTTGGCTTGTTGGCTTGTTCGCTTTGAGGTTTGAACGTTTGGACAGTTGGACATTTGAGCGCCCACCTTCGTCAGCGCTGATCGCTATCTGAGCGCTAATATATGCGCTGGGTCGGCGGCACACCGCAAATACCTTTAGTAATGCATAATTTCAGGCACTTTTCCGGCGAGGCGCGAAACCAGCAACCACCGAATGGCCACAGTGGCTGTGGCTTTGGCTGTGGCTTTAGCTATGGCGGTGGTCAGCCGGACGGTCAGCCGGACGGTCGGCCAGTCGGACGACCGGTCACATGCAAAGGCTTTTTTGGCTAGCTGGGAAAATCATTTAATTAACATTTTTCCCCGTTTTCGAGGCGCAAAATAATCACGCATATGCGTATGTGGTCAGCAACATTGGAGCCATTCTTAAACGCACTGTGGGATAAAGTTAATAAATTTTCTATCAAAATTTATATCAACCCCATTGTCCAGTTTTACGTATGAATATTATCCAAATCTTATTGCTATGAACAGAAATAATGATATTGTTCGAGTTTTTAAAAATACTTTTAAAATTGTGCTCACATCACAGAATTCGCCATTTCCCATTACCATCATCATAATCTTTAAACCATTTACAGAAATAATGAATGATTATATTTTAAATATATTTGAATTAAAGAAGCGAGCTTCGACATTTTTATTTTGCAAATATATACCACAAAATGTATTTAAGATTCCACAAATATAAGTAAGAACATGAAATACAAGTAGATTCATAATGATATCACTCAAAAAAAAAAAACTGTTTTTGAGACTTGCACCTTAAGTACAACGATAGAACAAAGAAATTTTATAGAAAATGATTTCTTAAGATATATTATTTTAAGGCTTTGAGCTAGTTTCCAATTCATGTTCCAAACTTTTCTCATTTGCTTGGTCTTTGAGTTCTTAAATGATAGTTCCAGAACAATTGACAAAAAACAATCTTCAACAATTCCTTTCCATGTTTACTGCAATTTCCTCTTAATTTCGTCACTAGTTGCCCACAGAATTTCTTATTAAATGAAACTTCATTATTCGAGGGATAAGTTTTTTGAAGCGATTGTCGGTATTTTGTCCACCGTACGTATTTGGCCCTCAGCTGTTCTTGGCCATTTCTGTGACGAAGTGGCTGGGCGACCGGGGCGACCTTTTGCCTAAATTATGATTAAAAACGGAAATGCTGGCATTTTCATGGCTTTGACGTTGGCATTTCTCGGACCTGCGCGGACCGCGGACCGCGGACAGAGCATTTCATTTTTTAGTTTTCCGACTGGTTTCTGTATTGCCAACAATTGGCGACCCAATGGTCGAAGTTCACTCAAGCGCGCTAGCAAAAAGTGAGCTCACACACACAAACACACACACATACACGCACCTCCATATCCTTAACTCTCCAACCATTGTTTACACACATTTGCATATGAGACCGGCAGTTGGGCTGGGCTGGTCTGGGACTGGGTCTGGGACTGAGACTGAGACTCGGACTCGGACTGTTGCGTATCTTATGGACACGCATGTGGTGTGTGTGGGCCAGAAAATATGAATAAATTGGGCCGACGGTTACAGGCCGTTGCTGTTCAAGTTATTGTTGTTGCTGCTTTTGATTAATTATTGCGGGCATTTTTATTTTCGGTTCAGTTTTTCTTGCCATTAAGTGTGATATTTGTAACACTTTGCTGACTTATTGTTGTTACTGTTTCTATTTATGTTTCTGCTTCAGCTTCTGCTTCTGGCGCTGCCGCTGCCGCTGCCACTGCCACTGCTTTTCCTCTTTTGCTCTTTTGCTGTGCTTGAAAGCTTTTAGCCATATTTTGGATAAGGCTAATTAACCCATTACTCCATTATTGTTGCCGTTGCCCAGCAAAGGGTTTTGGTTTTGGGCCGGCGCACACACACTATATAGGTGTATATTAATATATATGTTTGTGTGTGTGTGTGTGTATGTTGCCGGTGCTCGCTTTTGAATCTGCGCAATAAATTCCAATTTTGTGGCCTAATGAATCGACCTAAGCCGCCCATTCATTTGGCCAGCTGGCTAATTTTTAGCCAAGCTTATATGGCCATGACCAAAGTGACGAATGAATAGGGCACAATTAGCGCAGAGCCCCCAGCCCTTCCGATGGCCAGCGCGGCGGGAGTGGATCCAGGTAGCGCGGAAGTCGCACGTGGAAGATGCGCCTATTTAAACATTATGGCTTTCATTTGAAATTCAAGTTTATACGCAATTTTTAATGCCACTAGAAGCTGTTTAGCGCACTATGGGTAGACCAATATTTTGAAATAATACCGGAATAAGGGACTGTTCATTTTTAAAATAGAAGTGTCTTCTTCCGAAAGAGTTGAAAGATTCCCTTTTGACAGCACTGCTCTTAAACAAATCAGGGAAATATATATTTCAAGACCCATCAATAGAGCTTGAATTAAGAACTCTAATTACCATTTGGTGTTCATTTGGGTTGATGTTTTTTTAAAAGCTGACACATGTGTCTTTCTTCATCTAGTATATGAAAATAAATTCCCCAAATCTTGCTTATATATATCGGATCTTGCTTTATTAATTTAAGAAGCATTCTTCTAATCATTGCAAAGGCTGTGCATTTTTTCATATCTAAAAAAATTATTCATATATAACGGAATCTCTATAGTTAGGTAACATATAGGAATCCTCTCCTAAATGAGTTAGTTACAAATCCAGTTGACAAACAAAAGTGGTAGAGATGATATTATTAACAGCTTAAGGCGTTCTTTAAACTAAACACTTAATCCTATCAGAAAGCAATTGAAATTTCTAGAAATTTCTGTCAAATAAATTAAATGTAAAGTCCCAAGAAAACAAAAACTTTTTTCTAACTATAGTTGGTTAAAAACTCTTTAACTTGAACTTAACAGAGCTTTAAATGAGGAACCTAATAGCTACGATTATTCTCGCAAGCATTATGTACATAGGTAGGTAGTCATAGAAGATAATTGAAATACGCCGGTGTAAAATCTGGACTAATAGGATATTCCTTAAAGTGCTACGACTGCTGGACTGTAATAAATTCCAAATGCAATGATGTGAAAAGATCGGAAGACAAGTTTTTAAAGGATTGCAAAATTACCGCAACTGGCTGTATAACGAAAGTCATTCTCTGGGGTGAGTTATTTCGATTAAATTTTGATTGGTATTTAAAGATGTACATACTATGTACCACAAGTAAGATAATCGTTAGCAAGTGTTTTCTCCAAACAGATGACGAAAAACTTGAAGTGTACCGCAACTGTTTCTACGGCACTTACGAGGAAGCAAAAAACAACTGCCTATCGAAGTTGCCGAACATGGTGGAATTTGATTGCGACCTGTGCAAAAAAAATAGATGTAATGCCTCCAATTTCCCAGCTCCTGTTTCCAGTGCCATTGTTCTGTTATTTATGATAACGCTAGCTTTGTATAAAAGGATATAGGAAATACTTAGAACTGTATACATGATTCCATTTATAAGAAAGTCGGCAGCTTCATTTTTTTATAAGTAAATCAGATAGCAAAGTTACTTTATAGAAATAAAAAGACAATTTTAACTGATTTATTAATTCATTCTGTCTATTTTCTGCTTGGTTTTCAAAAATAAAAGAATTGAGTTACAAAACCAAATGTGAAAATAAAGTATTTATAACGATGAATAGAAAATCTTTTTTTGGAATTTGGATGTAGGATACTAACACCATATAATGCAGGATATTTGAAAACTTTTTGATTTACTCTGAAAACTGTTTTCGATAAACTGAAACTCTTCCTCTCTTATTCAAATATTTTAGGAGCTAGGATTTTTGTCAAGCATCGTATGCTCTCGAGGAACACTAGGATTTCTTTGGTTCTAGGCCATTACAACTTAATTTCTCTAAAACATAACCCCCTGAAGAGGATGTAAGTTTTGGTACATAACTTAAATCAGGGAAAAATCATAATAACGAGATATAGACTTATAAAGACTGGTATGTGATATGAAAGAAACAAGGCAATGGTTTCAGGGATTCATATCATATGGATATAACATTTGGTACATAACTTAAATCAGGGAAAAATCATAATAACGATATATAGACTTATAAAGACTGGTATGTGATATGAAAGAAGCAAGGCAATGGTTTCAGGGATTCATATCATATACTTGTAGATACTTGTATTACATTGCAATACATTCATAGGAGAATACCAGCCACACTGCCTTACCGAGCTATTAATTATAATACAACTTTCTGGATAACTCCATAGAACAACAACGCATAAGATATAAAAAAGAATTCTTCTATTTAATGAGAAATTAAAAGTCAAATAATATCTTATGACATGCGAACTAAATAGAGACAATATAACAACAGTAGAACTCCAACTGATTATACAAAGGGCAACTACTATATCTTATCATTTGTCTAGCCCCCGACATTGCTGTCATTTAAATATTATATAAAAAAAAAACAGAAAAGTATTTAATAAAGTATAGCATGATCAATGGAAGCTCAGAAGTTCCGAATAGTTGAACTTTTTAGAGCTGAACATGACTCTCTTAACGACTATGTTAATTTTCACAAGCATTTTGCACTTGGGTATGTATCTGAGCTAATTTGAACTCTATGGTTGTAAATTGTGGACTAATAGGATATGCCTTAAAGTGCTTTAATTGCTGGACTGTAGTGGACCCTTCTTGCAACAAGATTAAACAAACGGATGACAAATTTTTGGAGGACTGTAAGAAGAATGTCGTTGGTTGTTTTACGAAAATAATTCTCTGGGGTGAGTTATTTGAATTGGATTTTTGAAGAGTATACTAGCCAGAATATTTGTGTACTTATAGAGGACGAGACAGTAGAAATCGAGCGTAGCTGTTTTTATGGTGATCCCTTGGAAGTCAGAGAAAACTGCACCATCACGACGTCAGCCATGATTGAAATCGATTGCGATTTGTGCGAGCAAAGTAGATGTAATATTGCTCACTCACTAGATCCTGCATTCATTTCAACTATTATGGTATACATCCTAATACAAGTATTTCCTTAATGTCTTGCGAAAGAGAATATACCAATGTCATAGGGTTATGCTAATAAAACCAGTTAAGTGTTCTAAATTATTCACAACTATACAACTAGTAGTAGAGCTGGTAATGTGATCAGATATGAAGAGTTTTGAAACCATTTCTAAATTCTGCAATATTTTGGCCTCACATTCTGGCCTAGACAAATGAAATCCTTCCATCTGTCTGTATGAACCTTGTCTGCTTATGAGCCTCAACGGCTAAGGGCACCAAACCTGAGAACGCATTTAAATTCGTCATTTCCACACTTTATTTAAAACTACTTAAGGTTTTATAAAAAGCTGAAGAAGAATTAATGAAAAAAGAACTACTAATAGAGCATTGGTCTGTCGTAATAAAAAGGGACTTTTTATTTTTTTTTTTTTTGTAAATAACTCAACTATAGAAACGAACCATAGGAACGAAGGGATGGGTAAGTATTCCCTATAATTAATAAATAAACTTTAATTAACATGGTCGCTAAATTTATTAGGCTTTCGTTTGTTATAATGCCACACTGAGACCCGAGGTCAGAACGTAGTCGTAGCTGAGATCACTCTAATTGGGTATTACTTTATTGTTCACAATATTGGCTGTTTGGAATATTTCTTCTTTTGAAATTCCAAATGTTCAGCTACACCCAAGTCATAAGGGATTAGTTGGTGGCAGAGCGCTTTCTCCCCAATAAACATCAGCTGTTAGTTGTTAAATGCGGGACAAATCCTTGAAAGCTCTGGTAACAGTTCTTAACTTGTGTTTGTCTTGAAAGGAAGGCATTGTATAGTATGTCCATGTCGTACGTTTCAATTTCGTGTAAGCCAAGAGAAATGTTTTGCGTTGTTGCCAAAGAAATGACAGAGACAAGTAACCGCAGAGCAAACACCTAAAGCCCATTGATTAATTTGAAATTTATGATGCAGGAACCTGTGTTCCCACAATTCTCGTCTTCCATATCTCGTTCCTCAAGCTGGGCTGAAGGCTCGTAACTTTTACTCAGCGCTGCTGTAAGCATTTTAATCTTTCACGCACGGCCTTCATGGTCGACTCATATACGTTTTAATTAAAACGACGCACCGGAACTGAAAGCGAAAGCGAAAGAGAAACAGCAACAGCAACAGGAATCGAAATAGAAATAGAAATATAAATAGGAAGAGGAACAGGAACAGGACCAGGACCAGGACACAACAGCAATACTGAATGGCAGCACAAACTACTTGACAATTTTATGTTAATCCCGGCCAGAGGCCAAGAGCCAGCGTGACACTTTTTCGGCCCATAATCGTAAACATTGTGAGAGCGAACGCGTAAGTTGGCATTTGTAGGCACAAAACTGGCATAAATATCATTTGAATACCAGGCAGGCAAGTGGGAATGGCAGGACTCTACTCTACTCTACTCTATGCTCGCATTCACATTCGAACATGCGACTTAATTACGCGTGCCAAGCCGAGGTCCTTTTGTTATTATCATTCAGTCAGCGGGAAAGGTTTGGTCGACTGGGCCTGGACTGGTGGGTCGTTTGGTCGCCTTCCGCCGCCGCCGGTCGCACATTGATGATAATATTTGGACGTGGCCGGTGATGATGGCGATGGCGATGATGATGATGGCAACTGTGGCTGTGGCAATGTCTATGCCTCTGACTGTGGCAGCAACGGCGGCGTCGACTGCAAGGCATTGGCTGCGCTTAATGAATTTATTTGTTACGCATGGCGTATTTTGAATTGGCGGCTGCTCAACAATACAAACACACACGCACACATACACATACATATATATACATGTATATAAAGGAAAACTCTGATACGAAGCACAGTCATGCAGCAGGCAGCATCAGGCGAGGCGACGGCCTTCCTTTGTCCTGCATAGTTCGCTTCTGTGCGCAGCCTTAATGAAATCCATTATTACGAAAACCATTTCGCCTTCTTTGACATTCGCAGCGCATGGACGCACACACACACACACACACATATATATATATATATATATATATATATATATACATAAAGAGCCAAAGTAAATACACTTATTACAAAAAGTGTTGTGTGTTGTACGCGCCACCCCTTGCAAAGCTACTTTTCCCCCCAACCCCGATCACGATCCTACCTATCCCCGACCCCAGGCAAGACCACTTTGAATGTGCAAAATGTGAAAGGCATAAAACGCAGCAGGATATTACGCAGAGCGAATGATGTGCGGCCCCTCGTCCCTCTGCCACTGCCACTGCCACTGCCACTGCCACTGCCACTGCCACTGCCACTCTGCAACTCAGCCACTGCGCCACTGCCAACCGAATCGAGGCAAGGCGAGGCGAGGCGAGTCCGTTCGGGCACTGCCTCAGGGCCGATTGGCCCGGCACAGTGGACTCAACTTGTGGAAAATTTTGCATGACGTGATATTATCGCTCGGTACCGACAACACCACCACCACCACCACCATCATCAGCACCATGCAAAATAATACGAGCCTTCGCCATTTGATGATGATAATTATGTGAAACGGCAATTGTTTCAATTGTTTCGTATTTGTCCTCGCAAGGGGGTAATCGAACTTTAGATAATTGTTATGCCATGCAATCAAAGGAGGTCGCTTCACATATGCACCTCGAGTATACATTTGTACTAGGTACGAGGGCTGTCTGATAATGAATGTGTCTGTGTATCTATTTTAAGCGACTATTCAGTTACAAACATAATGAAAATATAAAGGGTATCTTTAAGTTGCTACCTGAGGTACAAGGATACTTTTAAGGAACACCACTTTAAGCTGTCGATCGAATCGAATTTTACGTAAAATATTCTTATGTTCAAATTGCTTTTTATTTTAGGTTCTCGTATAATGATCATGGATAACTAAATGTTATGTTCTATAACACATATAATATTTCGATGACAGATTATTGTTCAATCTTTTTTATAATTGTTATTCACATATTATTCATTTTTATTCCTTTGTATATAATTTTGTTTGCCTAAATTGCAATACAAAAATATTTCTTTACTGAGTTCTCTCCTATTTATCTCAAATAAACACAATTGAGCAAAATCGTCTCACATTTGAAGACAAAATGTATAGACAGTCTGTCTGCATGGAACAGAAACTATAGGTGAGGACAATTTTAAAAATTATATTAGATATTATTGCAATCCATTTATTTTTAGATCATTATTCGTAATCCTTAATGGTATAAGATGGCTGTAATGAGTCCTAAACAGGTTCCAGGTATTGTATTATGAGAAATATATTTGATCAATGATTAATATTCATAAAACAGTAATAAAAGTGGAATTGGGCTTAACTCATCTTTTTTGCCAAACTAATTATCTATGCTACACAGATAGGTAAAGAATGAATTAATTTCTTTTGCGTTTCCAGACACTGCCGGAACCCAGTTTTCTATAAAATACCAATTATATTCGTGACTTTAAATTAAATCTACATATTTTAGAACACTTTTGAAACTTCTTCAAAATATTAAGTTCGGCCACAAAAGGTCTGATTTTCAAGCTACAGCTATTTTCTATTTGTTGATTTATTTAACTAATTTATATTTAAAAAAAATAATAGCTTGCTTGAAGTAAAGAAAGATAATATTTTCTTAAAAAGGGGAAAGAGCGGAAAAAAACAATGTTCTTTTAAAAGTATTGCCATAATGTTGTGCACCCTTTATTAATAACTCCATTTATTTAAAAAAAAGGTGTGTTTTCTATTTAAAAGAAAGGAAATCAATTGTCCACTAGTAGGCCTAACTTTCATTGTAAAACTATGTGCATATTTGTATTAATTGTATAGTCTGGAAAAACGATGCTTTGCGGACTTTTCTTCAGTAATATTTGAAAATACATTTAAGGGTAAGCATAAATAATATGTATTGCAGCATAATTGGAAAATATATTTCTAAGCAACCTGTAATATAAAAGTAGAACTGAATTGTTTGGTAAATTAATAAGGGTTTGACATATAAAAGGATGACAATTTAGTAACAAAAATGAATTGAGTTGTTGACTCAATGATACATATTTGAAGGTGCGAGCCTTTGAAATTGCTTTCATGTTATAATATTTTCTAAAGCATTTTATTAAGTATTTATAGTACAAGATTATACTTGTATGTTAGAAAAAAAAAACACAAGGATAAGCATAAAGATACGAATCTCTTTAAATTTCAAAATAGTAATAGACAAATATAGCTGCAATGCTTTGTTTTCTATCAAAGGAATACAACATGTAATGGCTTCATTACAGCTGTTCTTACCCATAGATTATATCGCTTTAGCAGTCAGGCCTCGTTATGAATAATTTCATGAGCTGTACAGAAGCTTTTAAATATTGAAAAGCATTGATGGCAGATATTGTTCAATAGGAAATGGTTTCCTGACCGACATTTGTAGCTGAAGCTGAACTTTTGAAGCTGCCACATCATTGGCTTGTACTCGTACCCAAAAATGTTTCGTGCCGTAGTCGTCATACATTCACCCTTCAAACAAGGTCAATTAGGGGCCGTTGACGGGGCGCAAGCCACTTCCTCTTCCTGTACCCTCGATACCACTGTGCAACATTTTACTAGCTCCGGCAACTCGACGAGTATCATTAAAACTTAAATGACTTTCCTGTCGACATTCGTCGACGGCTGTTACAGGCATCTTCTTCTTCATTCTCTTCCTTTTAGTCAAACGCTGACTCCTGATACATATTACACATTTCGCGCACATTCAGTTTCCCATTCATACATTCACTCACTCATTCATTCAATCTTATGCTCACACCCACAGCCTCCTCCCCCACTGCCACTGCCACCCCGTTATACGTCAGCTGCTCATGACATTCTATTACCGGCGCGAGGGATTGTATCTAACTACCTGTATCTAGATACGCAATAAATGCTTTCTATTTAATGAGTTCTCGCCATTGCCCCATTTCATTCCTTTCCCAGCATCGTGTGCCTCCATGCTTGGCTTCGGCTCCTCAAACTGGTGATGGTATTGTTGTTGGGTGGAATTTCGCCATTCCTTTGACTCGGACTCGATAGAGACCTTCACGGATGGTGAGGCAGAAAATTTACATGTTTCTTGTTCTGGTTCTTGTTCTTGGTCCGCATAGTTTATGGCCGATATTTATGGGTTAACAGTACGCCTGAGGCGTTCGTCCACTCAACACGGTCCGATTTAATTGCCAAAACTCATATGCTACGAGTATCTCTAATGGTGGGGTGTATCTATGACTCATTTATCATGTGTCAGAATGTTTAACCAAATGGCACTTGGCCCAAAAAACTTTAGCACGCATCCGACCAATTGGGGGTGAGTGTGTACGAGTAGTAGTGGGTAGTGGGTAGTACGTAGTGGGTAGTGGGGGTAGTGACGGCGATAGAAGAATCAGCACGGTGTTTGCTAAGTAGTTACTTTTAATAGCGGCACACTTCCAAACTTCCCACTTCTGCGGCCGAAACCCAACATGGTTATTTATGTGGTGATGTATTTGTGTGTGTCCCGCCCTCAACTCAAGTGCCAACAATCTTTTCGATATGCCTTTCGAATGTTAACGTCCCGTTGGCAGCGTGATGAATGAGCCTCTACAGTCGGCTATAATTATATGCAGGAACGAATTGTTTATCCCATAAGTATAGGATGCTCTCATCCTCTCTCTCTCTCTCTCTCTCTCTCTCTCTCTCTCTCTCTCTGCTGTCTCACGCAAAATATCTTAATTGGCATGTTTTTGTATATCTCTACCACGCCATCCCAGCCCATCCCATTGAGGAACTTGCCACTCCAACAGGCTTAAAGGCTAAGCAGAGTGCCAAATTTTTAATCCGTACGCCAAAAATCAAAGCAACATGAATAAACCCGATGTGGATGAAGACAAAACATTTTAGAAAGATCAAATAAACAACTCGTTTGTTCAGCATATAATTCCTTCTGAAAGGGGACCTTTGATAACTGAAGCTTTTTGTATTTTAAATTAGAGTAAAGAGACGCATCCA